GAGCAGCTCAAGGGCAAGGGCACGTCCCGCCTGGGCGACCTCTACGAGGAGGAGATGCGGGAGCTGCGGCGACAGGTGGACCAGCTCACCAACGACAAGGCACGCGTGGAAGTGGAGCGGGACAACCTCGCCGACGACATCATGCGGCTGAGGGAGAAGTAAGTGTGCCTGGGGAACGCGGGCCGGGGCTGCCGCCGCCTCCCGCTGCCTCCCTCCCGCCCTGGCCCCTGAGCATCCCGAGCGCTACCGGGCGGGGGGATTTGGGTGATCCCCGCTCCCTCCTCACCGCTATCCTGCCCCTTCCAGGTTGCAAGAGGAGATGCTTCAGAGGGAGGAGGCCGAGAACACCCTGCAGTCCTTCAGACAGGTTAGCGGTGGTGGAGGCTGTGTCGGGCGGAGGGTGGGAGCGCAGGAGTTCGCTTTCCTCGCACAAAGCGATTCCGTCAGTTCTCACGCAAGCCCTCCGTGTTTTCTTTAGGGGGATGCTGCAGTCGGAGGGGAGGGGAGGGGAACTATTGTCCTGCTTTATCCAAGTCTAGCCCGTTTTACAAAAAGCGCCCCAACGTGGAATCACTTTCCGATCCAATAAAAGTGAAAGGGGGCCATCTGCTCGCTTGGCTGAAGGGTATTAATGGTTTCTATGGGATTCACCGTGGAATGCAGATACAGGCATTATGGCAAGTGTGGTGGCAGCAGATTGAAATAATAGATCCCTTTGTGTCGGAGGGGAGGGCGCAGTGGGCTGCATTCTTACTAAATGTGTAATGGTGCGGGAACATTTCTAGCGAAATGTGTCTATTATGGGCCAGTTTTTGTACAAAACAGAACTCCTTTTAGATGAATCACTGGTCAGTACATTACTGGGCAACAGTTTCAAATTTAAGGTTTTTCATGCGGGTGTTGTCTGCTGACAAGAAGTAGACAATATGTTCCTTAGGGTGAGGTCACAGGATTGAGCTTGCCTCCTCTAGGTGTCCATTAAAAACGTGGAATTTAATCCTCTGTAAAACGAAGATGTTAACCTAGGAAACAAGTTATGTTAGAGTTTAGTTTTTGTAGGATGCTGTGATGTTATCCAGCTAAAGTAAATCTACATGACAACCAGAAACAACTGTGCAAACAGTGTTCAAAAATTCTTAGGCTCAAGTTTTCACTTGTGCAAAACCAGCTTTCAACTTAGATTAAGCCTTGTTTGGACTAAGAGATATTTAGGAATGTGCCTTCTCAAAACAAGGTCTCTTCCCTAAAACTGCTGGTGTAAACCAGCATTGCTAGCATTCTTTCAGACTGGAAGTGACTGCCCTTATCACCAGGCAGCTGGGTACAGGCTGACTTTGTCCCAGAGCTCTTCATAGGCATTAACAGAAGTCACTATTCAGGAAATCAGCACTTGATTGTCAGTATTTCCCTGGGAAAGGCTTTTGTCTGCAGTATATTTACAGTCCTTGAAGGAGAGCAGGTGTGTTCAAGAGATAGTGTGGGGAAACTGAAACATCTATTTCCATTCAGAGCCTGGGAATTCAGTCTCCACTGGTGTTCTGGGAACAGAAGTTTTAAACAACCTTAGTTTAAGATTTAATTTAAGCTTCTGGGTTTTTTTTGTTTTTTGTGGGGGTTTTTTTGTGGTTTTTTTTTGAGTGCTAAGACAATTTAATGTAGTGTGAAGTTCTATGAAGGAACATTCAATTTAAGTTTTAGAGAACCTCATCTACTCTCTTTCATTGCTGAATTCAGTTGAAGGATCAATTGACTTAAGGTTGGCTTTTACATGATCTTTCATATTTAATTGGTGCACTGTAGGCATGCCTGTATTTCAATCCAGTTGAGTCCTATGAAGGCTCTAGGCTTTAAAGTGAGCTTGGCTTGCTGTGCATATCCCACACTCATTATCCAGCTCTTCCCTGTTCTATGGAAAGGGGTCACTCGGGAGCTCAGCCTCTAGCAGATGTGTGCATTCAGAATTGGATCCATTTAACCTTCTAAACTGTAGCTTGTGCATGAGAAATGAAAATCACTGTCTATGGAAACGCTACACTAAAACCACTCGTGACATAACTGGTGTATCCTGATGTGCTTGATTTGAATGTCAGTTGTACCTCATTTTTCCTTACTGGCAAGGGTGGAGTTAACATGCAGGTTTTGAAACCTAAATCTGTTTCAGTCTAAGTTTTGTTCTTCTGAAAGTGAAATTAAATTCATAGAACACTGAAGCTGAAATATCCTGTTGTGCTTTCCATTTTAAAACAATGCACAGTGTTCTGTTAAACCATTATATTTTTCCACTGGAAAGTTGTATAGTTTCATAAATTTGAAACACTTCAGCAGATGCTTTGCTGTTCTGATGTATCATTAAAGCTACTTGTTATTTGATGGAGCAGTTGTGTACTTCAGTATTTTAAAATAAAGAATGAATACTTAAGCTTTTCTTTCCAAAAGCTGCCTGTTTCAGAGACTGACCAGCTCATATGCACTGTATTGTAATTCATTCCTTTTGATCACATCTTGTGGCAAAGAAGTGATTTTATTCATATGCTGAGGGGTGTACTGCATAAAGTATATGTGAAAGTTCAGTGAGGACTTTCCTTTGGGGCAGGACAAGCATCACAGTTAGTGAGAAAGTTCCTGCAGCTTTGCCAGCTAATCTAGCAGCAAGGAATAGGTCCTGAACCTGTGAAAAGCCTACCAGGTCATGTCCTGGCTAACGTGAGCTTTGTCTTAAGTAAATATGGGTGCTCAACCCTGCTAAGTGTGTGGCTTGCATTGAAGAATCTCTAGGATAAAATCAGTGCATACTCCAGCTTCATGTATCTGTGACATGTATTTGCTTGTTCAGGCCACAGGTAGCCTGTTCATTTATGTGGTTCTCCACACATTTGGGAACTACTGAAACACTAAATCTTGTGTGATGGGGAATACATGAATGATAGCATATAGTAAAGTACATACCACATATAGTGTCTTCAGTTTAAATTGTTTTCAATTTACTTTAAGGTCCCAAAATCCTGTAGCTATTCAGTTATTAAAAAAAATTTAATAGCCTTCAGGGTGAAGATTTCTGTAAAATCCTCTAAGAAAATCTTTGGATGTCTGGCCAATTATGTAAACATGTTGGGTCATAGCCATGTATTTTTCTGCCAGAATGATCTTGAGAGGTTTTGGGGGGAGGAGAACAAATTAATTAGGAAATTCTTTCCCTGAACTGAAAAACAGAATTGATATGAACTGTGGGTGTAAAACTGGAATTGATAGAAAAGTTACAGAATGACGCATGAAGGGGGTATTTTGCTGGATAAAGTAAACAGAACAATTCTTCTGGAGCAAGGGCCTTACCCCAGAGTAGGAGTGATCCAAGGAAAGGCTTTCTAGGAGTCTAAAGAAAACACTCCTTATTTCAAAGGTGCCATAATAAAGAGAGCTGCTGATTAGGAATGCTTATGCTTTCAGCAATCCAAAATAGCTTTAGAGTAAGCTGTGAGAACCTGACATGTTAATACCCTGTGAGCACAAGCATGTGGTTGTGTATGTAACTAGAGTGAAAGGAAAAATCTTCCCCTTTGCAAACTAAATGCCCTACACATTCAAAATGTAAGAAGTTGCCAATCAATGTTTAGTCTTCTGTTTTTGAACTAATTAAAGTTGCTCCCTTGTGACATTCATGACGTGTCTTCTGTTATGCCCTAAATGAATTTTTGCTGTTGATTAAGACTATCTCTGTCCAGCAAAAGGTGGAGTCTTTGCCAGCAGCTGTGAGGGTGTAGGCAATGATGAGTAGCTCTGTTTGTGTTTATGCTCAGACCTTCTTTTTCTCAAGGGAGAGCTGTTGGCCTGCATTAAGTGAATGCTGCATTTCTTAGATGTACCTCACCAGCTTTACAAGTGTGCTTTAAAAGTGTGGTCTGTGGCCCTAAGGGGGGCTCTGTGCTCGTTCACCAAGGAGTCAATAAGTTAAGACCACTGGCAGACATGAAGTCACATGTGTTGCACTTAAAAGCCCCACTGAAAAGAGTGGAAGTTTGCAAATTGCAACTCTTTGTCAGTGTAGTCAAGCTAGAAGCACTTACTGCCGACTTCTGACTCAAGTACCTGGAAGATTTACACCCACTATGATCTGTGTGCTCTTGATCATGCTTAGCAGCATGTCAGCAAAGATGATATAATCAATATATGTCATATAGTTTTTCAAATTTACAATAAAGGTGCATATTATTGTTTAAGGCTAAGGCAGGAGGTGGCAAAAAGGTTTTTCACAGCTTTGGATTTCCTATTGTGTTGTTAAAAAGCTCAGGTGTAGTATCAGTCTGTATGCTGCTGAACTTTCTGCAAGAGACTACATCAGTTTTGTAAGATTATGAATCGTTCATTTCTCTGTTCAGGATGTTGACAATGCCTCTCTGGCACGTCTTGATCTTGAGCGCAAAGTTGAGTCCCTGCAAGAGGAGATTGTCTTCTTGAAGAAGCTGCATGAGGAGGTAAGCTGAGAAATGAGGTCTATGTTTAGATGCAGACTGTCTAGCAAGGAAGCTCTTTGCTGGTTCTATCCCAGAGTCCCCACCTGCGTATGATCTGTGTGCTTTTGTGCAATAATGCTGAGTGTCTGCTTCTCTCTAAGGAAATCCGAGAACTGCAGGCCCAACTCCAGGAGCAGCACATCCAAATTGACATGGATGTTTCTAAGCCTGATCTTACTGCGGCCCTGCGTGATGTTCGCCAACAGTATGAAAGTGTTGCTGCTAAGAATCTTCAGGAAGCTGAAGAGTGGTACAAGTCCAAAGTAAGTAAAATGCATTAGGCACTGGAACTAATTCTGTTTAGCTGCTTTTCTGCAACACTTGCTGTTCCCTCTGTCTCTATAATGGATGTGAACATAACTGTGACACAAAGTCTTTTTTCAATCCTAGTCTGGGAAGGGTACAATGGGAAACATTTTGTGCCATAGCTACAACAGCAAAGTAATGGGTGCTCACTGGGAGTCTTTCTTGTGCTTGTACCTGAAAGCAGATGTTGGATGAAGTACAGGAGAAATGAGTGAAAAGATGGGAAATGTACAGGGTGGGGCAACAAGTATGAAAGTTTGCTATGAATTCTAAAATGACATTTAAAAAGAGAGGGAGAGGCACTTTAAGAGTAATACTAATATTTAAGCATTTCAGGTGCTAACCCTTGTAATACCTTCAGTTGCCCTCAACTGCTGTGTCCACAGAAGGTCTGTTTCACCATTTCTGCAGAAGTGTTGTGCTAACCAGTGTGGGGTTTTCCAGTTTGCAGATCTCTCTGAAGCTGCTAACAGGAACAACGATGCCCTGCGCCAGGCCAAGCAGGAAGCCAATGAGTACCGCAGACAGATCCAGTCTCTCACCTGCGAAGTTGATGCTCTTAAGGGAAGCGTAAGTGGAAGACAGCAGTTGCTCTTCTTCATTGCAGCTTTAAGCATTGCAGTTTAATTGTTAATTTGGATGTGAATGCAGGTGACCTGCCATGCAATTCAGCAGCACGTTAGTACTTTTGAAAAGGATGCTGTGGGCTCAATTTGTGTGTATGCACAGCAGTGCACTGGCTAGATTGATAAATTGAATTAGGCTTACTTAAGCTGTAAACAACAAGTTCATTCTCTTGCTATAATATTGACTGTTAGTTCTTGTCTGCCAGGTACAGCTAAAGTTATAAAAAAAAAAAACCTGGAGGAGCAGTGAAAGGTGCAAATTTTGCTGTTGCTAGAACATGGCTGACTTAAAAACAGGTTTGAAATGGACATAAATGTTTAGCACACCTGCAAATCTCCTCTACTAAGGATTGCCTACATGCTGACTTGAACTGTATATGTTTGGCTTACTGTAAAGGATGGCTTTGCCACCTGGTAGATATATAGAACAAGTATGTGGCACACCTCAGATCATGCAGCAGAATAACTCTCCTTGACTTTGCAAAGGGAAGATAAGGACATGACAAATTTGGGACATTTTCAGAAAGGATGCCACAACTTCTCTTCTTTAAAATGTTAAGGGTCTTGAGGGTGGGGAAGAGTGACTGAACTGCAGCAGTGCTTGATTTCACTCTTCTCTTCCAGAATGAGTCCCTGGAGCGCCAAATGCGTGAAATGGAGGAGAATTTTGCTGTTGAAGCTGCTAACTACCAAGACACTATTGGCCGTCTGCAGGATGAGATTCAGAACATGAAGGAAGAAATGGCTCGCCATCTCCGCGAGTACCAGGACCTGCTGAATGTAAAGATGGCTCTTGATATTGAGATTGCCACCTACAGAAAACTGCTGGAGGGTGAAGAGAGCAGGTAATCACATGCAGACACTTTTCTAAAGCTGGGAATTACTAGGAGATACTTTATACCCATGTCTGATTTTATCCATTTCTTTTTTCCTTTAGGATTAACATGCCTATTCCAACCTTTGCTGCTTTGAACTTGAGAGGTAAGCTGTTTCTGCTATTTCAGTTTAGGCAGTTTCCCTACTGTTGGCATGAGGGTTCTGGATGCTTTTCTTTTATGCTGGTTTTTAAACTTGTATAAGTGCAGTTGGTTGTGAATACTCTTCTTGAATCTAACTACAGTAGTAGTTAACCTTGGATGGTAGCAGCTCTTTTGTTCCTGGATACATATTTTTAATATTGGTACATAGCAAATAATTGATTTGGATACCTGCTGAAAGTGCTTTAGGGGACACAGAGAAAATATTGAAGACCTGGCTTATTCAGAGCAGGAGGCTTCTTTGCATAGTAAATTTGGATTCTGAAAGTAGACACTATAATCTGTTACACTGCATTTATCTGAGGAGGCACTTCATCTAGACTGCTGGTAATAATGCATCTTCTTCTGCAGAAACCAACATTGAGTCTCAGCCAATGGTTGACACCCACTCAAAGAGAACACTTCTAATTAAGACTGTGGAAACTAGAGATGGACAGGTTGGTGGTAACTTTATTTCTATCAGAGCTGGTTATATTAAATTCTTAAGTTTCCCTGCTGGTTACTGCAGCTTGTATGTGGTAGTATGTATTGAATACAACAGCAAGGGGCACTCCAAGCTATGTGAGCATACAGGTATAGCAAACAGGTTTCTCTGGAAAAAAAAAAGTTAAAATTCATCTGATAGTAAGACTTTTAGTTGGTGACTGTTACCTGTGTATTGAGTATTTAAGTTTAGCTGAGTTAGCAAATGCTCAAAACTTTTCCTTAGGAAAACATGTGGCAGTAAACAGAGATACTTTATGTGCTTAGGATAAGATGCTATTGTTAGTGTAATTAATTAACTTGAATGGTTTCTCTATGCTATTTACAAACTAGAATTTCTCATAAGTGAGAACTGATACCCACTTGTCCACATTTTGGAAATGGATGTTCCACTTCTAACTTAAAAAAACCACAAAAATCTTCCTACTAAAACTTAATGCAAACATTTGTTTTTCATTAGGTTATTAATGAAACTTCCCAGCATCATGATGACTTGGAGTAAAGCTGAAGTGTGAAGATGCTTACTTACTAAAGGAGAAATTCTTACCAGCAAGATTGAAAAAGTCCATGTCTTAAAGGAAGAAACAGCTTTCAAGTGCCTTTCTGCAGTTTTTCCATGAGCGCAAGATGATTATGCTAGGAAATAGGTCTTAGATCTTGCAAACTGACTCTCCCTGAAGGATTAGAGTTTACAATGGAGTCTAGTTTACAAATAGCAATATCTTGTGCTGCAATACTGTTTTTAAGTATCTGAATTCAATAAAACTGCTTTTTCCAGCACAGTATGAGCAACCTGTCGCTACTTCAATAAATCTTTGGAAAATGGCTCTTGATGTGTTCTAATTTGTTAACTTCATGACTTTCTGGAAAGCCATAACAACATAATGCTGGAATTATTATACGGTTGACATCTCTAGTACTGGCTGTGTGGAATGCTGTTTTTTTCAGTTTAACTAGATAAACTGTCTTACTCATTTACTGCTTAGGTTTTGGAACCAATTAAAATGGATTATAACTGGCAGATGCATAATGTATTATGATATTTCTTATCACTTGAATAAAATATGATACTTCAAGCTAATAAAAAATAATCTTGCTTCCATATACTAGTTAATGCAGTTACTGAATGTCAGAATGCCTGAAGTACCTTAAAACTTGGCTTTATAAAACATAGTTATGTAGCAGAGAAGTAGTTCATGTGAGCCCTTATCTCAGACAGCACCTTGCAAAGTTAACAGCTGACTTGGTGCATTAACTTATTTTTTCCAGGAAAAACTAGTTCCCAAAGGCTTGTTGGTATTCAAGAAGCTACATGAAGGCTTTGGCTGGAGTGGGGGTTAGGAGACACTAGCTTGATGTTTTGCTGACAATTCCATTATTTAAACGCCTTTTAAAAAAGGAGAGCCAGCCACCATGTTTGGTGTTCTCTGCTGAACATCAGTGTAAATGCAGCAGAATGGGAACAAGGAAGCTCCACTCTGCCTTGCCATAGTCTTTCAGGAGGCAGTAGTGGAAGTTGATGTCTTCTCTGAATGCTTAAGTTTTCTCCTGCAGATCAAAACACTTCTCAAATTTAAACACAATAATGGCCCACAGCAGAGCCCCATAAAAGTAGCTGCTGTGTTCTGCATTACTTCTGTAAAGTCTGCTTCCTTGTAAGCTTTTACTGAGGTACAAATTTTCTGGAATGTGTAACTGCAAACTGAAATTTTTCAGTTAATATGAATAGCATTCAGGGTCAGGGTAGTACTTCTGTGTTGTACAGACACTCTTGCTGGGATCTGGGAGTTGATCTGTAAAGAAAACTCACTGTTACCTCCATTTGATAGGGATGAAAACAATTCCTTTTCCATCCTTATTCTTACCTTTGCTCAAGTGTGTGACTGAGTGGATGTAGTGCAGGCACTGGGGAGGCAGTAGGAGGCTGCTTTCCTCATCCCAGCTGGTGGCAGCAGCAGGTTGAGTCCTGCAGCCAGGATAGTAAAGAGGGAGGTGGACAGGGCTTGGGGATGTGCTCAAGAAACCCTCTGCAGCTCCAACACACAGGCATCCTGCAAGCTGAAGGCAGGGCCTAGGCATGAGAGCAGTTTTTGAGCCACCCAGGGAGAACTGCTGCAGTTATCCTTCACAGCAGAAAAGCACGTAAATTTTCAAACAAGGCATGGTGTTGTTCTTACCCCACTTTCCTCCAGTAAGTGTTCAAAGACTTCAGCCTCCCACTTCCCATCAGGCCAGAGGGCAGTTTTCTCTTTGCTGTAACACCAAAAATGGTCTGATACATGTAAATCGATTAGGCTGGGATATGTCCCTGTCCAGCTTGTGCTTTATGTACTTCCCAAAAGTCCTGCAGCTGGTCCAGTGTTTGTTCTGGTGACTCCCTTCATGCAAAAAGGGCCAGAAGTGTCTCTGAGGAGAGTGCCTGGGCCCAAGTCACAGCTTTTGCCTCAGCAAAGCAGAACAGATTTGACCTGGTCCACCATATGATGGGTAGGATAGTCTCACTATCCCAGCCTTTTTCATGTTGCAGAGATTAAAGACACTAGCTTTTCAACTACCTTTCAACAACCAGACTGATAGAAAAAGCACAAATGAGCTTTTATGGGAAGTATTTTCTGTTATAATAACAGCTCTGGGCACGTGTAATATCTTACTTTATAGGCATGAGTGTCAACAACCTTTCAGGACAAGTGGAATAAGGGGCTGATGTCCTGCCTGTTGCAGACTACTTAAATCTTTCTCTGGATCTAGTTATTGAAAAAGTTGAGACAATGGTAAATGTAATTTCTTGCCCCTAAAGCAATGTGAGATCTGGCAGTGTGTGGGCAGGGAGAGCCAGCTCTGCTAGAGGATGGTGGCCACCCTTGGCAGCTCTGGGCAGGGACCCACAGCACAGTGTGCTTTTTGAAATGGACATTGGCCTCTGGAGGTTGTGATAGTCTTTCAGATATTGCTCCCACTCTGCCACCAGCTACCTGGCTCAGTGCTTTCTGTTGTCTTTGATTGCTTCACTCAGTAGATAAAAGAAGTGCTTGTATCCAGCACTGACTGCAGCAAAGGAGTTATTCCTGGCTCTTCAGTGTCTGGCGTTACTCAGAACACAGAGTAGCAAGTGGAAGAGCTCTCAGTCCTGGGAATAATTAGAAAATAAATAAATAAATAAAAAATAAACCTAGTTGCCAAGGGGATAAGAAGATTGCAGGAAACCTCAGAAACCCATACCCCTGTGAGTGCAAGAGCACCCTCTTGGTGGAGAGTGGACAGTGGCTGTGTAAATTTCTCGGTGTTTGCTCTAGGGGCACCAGCCTTATGCTCATATATTATTACTGAAAACTGCTTAGTGCTGAGGCAGCAGCTGACCTCAGAACTGTATTTCACATCCTAATAACTGCAGGCAGCAGCAGCTGCACCAAGTAGGGCAGCCCTCTTGTTCTGTGCTTGTCCTGCCCTCCAACGAGCCCCATGAAGCTGCTTCTGTGAGCTTACAGTCAGTGCCTCCAAATATGCAAGCTGTTCCCACAGTCAACAAAAATAATCCTCCTCTCAGATGACTGAGAATCTCATATTTAGTTTGTTTTGCCTTATGTAGCCAGAACCTTGTTTTCCTTTTTTTAAATTTTTTTCTTTTTTTCTTTTTTTTAATAATAATCTTGCAAAGCACAGAAACTGCTAGGCAGAGGCTCCATATTCCAAACCCCTGGGAGCGTGCACTAACGCAGTTCTTCTGCCATCCAGTTGGTCTGCTTTAGTATACAGCAAATATACTTCTCCCTCCCTCCCTC